ATCCGGTAATGCACGCAGGCGCCGCGTTTCCAGCTGCAACCGTGAAAGACGGGGACACTCCGATAGTTGTTGTCTGTCTTGAAAGAGTTCTGACTCAAGCGGTAGGTTCCACGGGAGGCGCCACTGGAGTGACCTCGCAGCTGGGCGCCTGTTCCCATGGTCGCCTTCTCGTCAGCGCATACGCCTTGGCAAAGCCGGACTCCCCCGCGCACAAACCCTGGCACGGATAATCCGTTCATGGAAGCACGTTCCCGCTTCCAGCTGGAACTGTATACGAGCGACGATGCTTGTTGACGTAATCCTTCGTGTCCTTCCGAGCATCCATGCCTGGGAGACCTCCTCTTTGTTAAAAACGATTTACTTGTCAGGCGTGTCAGACGCGTCAGAATATTGTAGTCGCCGGCGAGGATTGCGAGTTACCCTTGGGAGATCCTTTTGTTGGACCCGGCGTCAGCGGCGAAGTATACTTTGGTTCATCTTCTGTTAGACCAAAACATTTCTTTTTTCAGTAGCGTAGCACTAGCACTACAACGGGACGCGCAGTCGTCCGGATGATCTCATCGTCGTGGCGCGAGACTTGAACCCTTGACGGTCTGGTGCACTCGCTCAGCGTACTCTCAGAACGACGTCGGAATTAGGAGGGGCCAGTCATAACAATCTCAACTTGACGAAGAAAAAATAAAAAAGGAGGATAGTTTGTTATAAAAGACCCTCTACCCGAGGCGAACCTCAGATGTTTCGTCATGGACACCTAAGATGCCGACACCCGCTTATTTGACCCTGCACAGCCTGTTTCTCAAATTCAACGCTGCCGTTCCATTCAGTGCCACGGTAGAACGTCCATTTAGCTTGGCTGGGGACGTCTTTAAAAGGAAAAGGGGAAAACTCTCCTATCAAGAACTTTGAAAGTTCTGCGAGCGAACAAAATATTTTGGCGAAAACGCAAGCTATAAATAGACTGCATTTATTCTAGGCTCGCAGGGTTTTTCATTGATCAAAACTGGTGTTCATTTCGCCACCACAAAAATATAAAAAAAAGTAACTTCGAAAGTAACTTGAAAGTAACTCGCTACTTTTAAGAGTAGTTAGTAGTTTACTCAATTACTATTACAAATGCGTAATTTCTACTCTACTCTAATTACTTTTGGCGTCGATACTCAGTAACTTAACTTAACTACCTTTTTTGAGTAATTTGTACATGTCTGCACCAGGTGCACATTGAAGACCGTTTATTTAGCTTTAAAATTAGTTTTCTTGTGCTTTTCAACGAAAGACTGGTGTTTTTGAGGTTAGGGTGCAACAGGCAACACATTAAAGCTAGAAAATGATCGCTGAAATTTCGTTTCCCCACCCCTTTAAAAGTAGAACACTACACTCCCGGACGAAGTCGCTGAGAAGCTTTCGTTCCCTTCGCCCCTTTCCGAAGTTCGAGGCTCTGCTTCAAACATATCCTCCTCACAGTCGCAAATAAAAAAAAAGGTGCCGTGACGGTGGGGGATATGACTGGGATAATATAAACCGACAGGATGTTTACAAGCAAGTCAGCGTTTGCCCACACCAAGAGTGAGCATTGCGAGAGCACAGAACCTAGATTAGCGTGAAGTTTCCGCGCATGCGCCATACCGACAACAGAGCCACCGCAACCGCAGCGGCGCGATGCCAGAGCCGCGTACTGGTGTATCGAAACTTCAGCTGACCCGTATGTAACCATAGCTTCAACTGTTAAAAAACAAAAACAAAAAAAAAACACCTATGTGTTATAAAAACAAAGAGGCAGGGACTGAAATAAACATCGAAGTTGACCGCAAGATAACAGTGAATGACAGGAGTTCAAAGGCAGTGGCAAAAGCCTGTGTCTGTATAAATAAGGAGTATTTAATCCTCTTCAGCAGACGCAGCTGTCTTTGGGAGCGCCCCAGTGTTACCCAACCGGCGGATAGAAGGCGCTGACGCACTCGTCTCCATTAAGCTGCTTCAATTTGGTTGGTTTTGGTTTCAACGTGCACGCGGCTGTGTGGCTTTTTTATGCTGTTTTCGCTTCGTTTTATGATGGAAATGTGTCCCTTATACCACGTAACCAATAAACCAGTGGTACTGCGCCACTTTGAGAACAAGTTTGAATATAAATTGCGTGTTTTTGTTTTTACGAGCACCTTCGACGCATCTGATTACGTTCATATAATTAATTTCGGATATATTCAGGCGGCGAAACAACTGAATTGATGCACAGTGAAGATTACCATTCTCTGCGGCCCTACTCAATGAACCTAGTTTCCAGAAAACTAAACTAACGAAGAGACTAAGGCATCAATGCTTATTAAAGAAGCAAGTCGACAACCCAATTAACAAATGTGCTGAATCGCGAAGAAGATATCAACTGGCAAGTTATACTGCTCACTGTCTTGAGTTTTATGGACACCAATTAATCGGGAACTTCGCAGTCTGGGAAAGTCTCGTATAAAGACGTAGAGAATCTAAAAAAAAAGGATATTGTATCGGTCTCTTTTCATTAAAGAAATTAATTATTTTACGAATATTACCGAAGTTTAGCCCGAGTAGGAAATTTCTTTATTTTCCGGGTCTGCTAAAATACTCATTTAGATTATTTCTCAATATTAGCCTTAAGAAATAACCCTTTTTGTTTCCTGGACATTTGCTTACGCGGTATACTCAAGATATGAGATTAATGAGAGACAAGTCGAATGACGTGGCATTTGTCTTCCGCCAAGTTTGGCCAAAGTCGAACGTCGGGCGGCACTTCATGTAAACAGATACTTATTCATTTCAACAGATGCACTTCGTAGATTTCGGCCTCGCCAGCCACTGAAAGCAATTGTTCTAGTCGTCATCGACAACGGTGCGCATGCACCTGAGATTTTCATGCAGACGGCTTCTTTTCGGCGTCACTTATTGCGGACCTCAGGCGCTCTCAAGCTGTCTGAGTGGCATCTTCTTACGCGGGAAGTCACAACCTTTATGTTGAAATAAATTAATTGAATTGAACTGGTTATCTTAAGAAAATTATTATACACCTATAAAAAAAAAAAGCCCGTGCGTCTAGTTTCCCGCACAACGCTCGGAGAGCCAATCACCGCAACTTACGGAGGCAGCTCAGCGAATGACGAGGCCGAAACATATGTTTAGATCGATAAACGAAGTCTGAATTGTGACATTAAGCAATGGAAACGTGACGTCTTGCATAGCTTAATGTCACAATTCAGACTTCGCTTTTCGATCTAAACATATGTTTCGGCATTGTCATTCGCTGAGCTGCCTCCGTAAGTTGCGGTGATTGGTTCTCCGAGCGTTGTGCGGGAACGTAGACGCACGGCTTTTTTTTAGAGTGTAGCACTTAAAATGCAGTAGACATGGGACCGAGCACGGTGCGCAGCTCATTGGCATTTATAAATTAACCAATCAAGCTAATGGTTAAATCGCAAAAAAAAAGAAAAAGATATACAGCGTCAAAGACACAGAGGTGTTATATTATGAAACAACAAACCACCTGACGTTGACGTAGCATTATCCCTAGCATCAGATGAAAATGCGCGTCAAACCTCCGTTACCCATCTTCCCCGTGATTTCCCTCATATAAGCAAAAGCAGTTTTCAATCTGGAGAGAATACGAAAGATGATGCTTTCAGGTAACATACTATCTTTGTTTCCTGAAAGCATCTTTGCATTCATTGACTATATTTGTTCCTTTCCTAAATCCTACTAAATCATAACTATATTGCGCTTATTGCGAATGTTCCGCCGCTATTAGTAAGCACACCTGAGTCGTTATTAGTAATTGGCCTCTGAATCATCGTGCTGTGTTAGTGTCAGCTACATAATGTGCATCAGTGCTAACGCCGATTCCTGTACCTCATATTCCCTCCAACGTATCCAGTAAGCCGACAATAGTGAATTTTAGTGGACCGTAAAATAGAGCTTCGCTTTGCTACCGCGAGCTCGTGCCGTCCTTTTTGAAACATGCATTGAGCACGCGTCCACTGAACCCGCTATCCGCAGAATACGAGCTACTAAACATCTATAATAAAAATAGTCAAAACGCGCGTTACAAAACTAACCGCAGGAGTTATGCACGTAATAATGGAATGCAAAGAGCAAGTAAATGTATGTATAGGACGACACTTTAAAGACTAATTGGCAAGAAAATGCGGTGAAAGGCGGACGAAAACACAATATTATCCGCCAAGGCGCGGAAGGGAGAGCGGAGCGATTAGTTCACGGAACCTAATGCCGACCGAATCAAGTGATTTCAAGATGGCAGCGCCCAGGTGATGGAGGGCACAAAGGTCACAGTCACCGCCGTGCCGCCGCCATGAGGGTGCGCACCTCATACGCACAAAATAAAGCGCCTCGATGTGTTGGCGTTTGTGTTGCAAGTGTCGTCAAATGCGCCATTGCACGAGGCCCCTGTCTCGAGCGGCCCTAGGAAGTAAATGGCGGCGTGCCACTGAAATGAACAGGACCTGGAAGCGAATGGCGGAGGAGCCCCCGCTCGTGGCAAGAGTCTTGCGCGTTTACACAACAACGGTTGGCGGTACTTGTAAAAAAACGCCGTTAACAAGGGGCTTTAGCGCAACGCAGGGTATACCAAATGGCTTAACAAGGCCTTGCGTTTCCTTTCGCCGCCAACTCCTCACTGGCGGAGAAGAGGTCATGTGCGTCGAATTTCACCTTCGCCCTCGCGGCGAAGCCGCCTTGAGGAGCGCCCAGTTTGAGGCGGGATATGTGTGGCGCTTTGCGCTCACGAAATGTAGGTCTTTCACTGAAGTATGACGAGCAGGAAGTTTCTTGAACCTTCGGACATTCAGTGTGTCACTTAGATATGTGTAATTCCGTTAACTTTAAGACGCGAGCGCAGTGTCACAGCGGCCACAAGCGAGCAGACGATACGACGGCCACGACGGCACAGCCCGCTTGCTTGCTTGCTTCCGAGTGATATTTGGGAAATGCCAGACGGCGCACGCCCAATAAAAGCGAGGTCTTACCGCTCTGCCGACGGCGCTTCTTGGGAGTGTGAACGGCCGCCTGCTCCTGGGACGACGACGGCGTCGTCGGCGCCGAGGCGGAGCTATCCGGCTCCGGTCGCTTGGCGGGGGACCTCTTCCGGGTGGCGGGCGCCTCTTCCTCGGCCTCCTCCGCGGGCTCGGGCGTGGGCGGCCGGTCGTACGAGCCCAGCTTGTACCTAGGCAGGAGACACGGGACTTGCAGTGAACGGCCTCGCGGAGGAACCCAGGGATCCTGGCATCAATTCCCACCCCTGTCCGTTTCGGTCTGGACGAGACCCGTACCGGCGGTTTGATACACGTTAAAGACCCCCAGCGGTTGTACCGTACTGGCAAAATTTCTCATCTACAGCGGAGGCAACAGAAGCCCATTGGCGCAAACTTCCCGCTGTCCAAACATACACACAATCACCACTTCCGGTTCCTGCCATTCCACTCATCATCCGTGCGTGCGTTTCGGTCCCTTCGTAACAGATGGTGTACACATTTGCGTTCGAGTATGATGACGTGATCGAGTGTGTAGCCACCACTTGCCACTGATGATGAACACACTGGCCCCATATATTAAGTATAGAGAATACATGTTACTCCGCCAAAAATATAATAGCTTTGGCGCCAACGGGCTTTGCGTTGTTGGAACGGCTTGACGCATGCAGCATCTGAGTTTTCCCCTTTCATCCGGGAGGGGAGGCTGCCACAATCTATCGTCGTGGAAACCCGCCGAAGCAGTGGAGACAGACGTATCTGCCGCCTTGGCCAATCCGGTATCTCGGTGCATCGGAGGCAGCCCTCTTCCACGGCGACGCAGCGTGACAGCGTGGACAGCCCGTCCACGGCGTCGCGTCGGGGTGATTACACCGATAGGGGAAGAATTTGGTGCTCTAGGGCACACCTGGTTCTGAACATGGCTTCACCCCCCCCCCCCCCCCCCCCCCCCCAATTTCTCTTCCCTCCGAAATTAAACTGTTAAAGACGTTTACAATTCTCCGTAATGCCTAATAGGAGCGCAGCTCTTGAGGAGGAGGTGGGGACGGTGCGAAGGGGAGGGAGAGTCCCTCCCCCCTCCAATCCGCCTCTCCTGCTCCCCTCCCATCTAGCAAAAAAAATTTCGCTAAATTTTGCGAAAATTGTTTTTTGCTAAATTCAGCGTGGAAATTTTTCCCCTAAACTTAGCGGGGGGCTTTTTCTGCTAAATGCAGCGAAAAAAAATTCTCTCTAAATGAAGCAGTAACATTTCCCCGCTAAATTTAGCGGGTAAATTTTCCACCTAAATTAAGCGGGAAAATCTTTCCGCTAAATTTAGCAGGAAATATTCTCGCTAAATTTAGCTGAGAAAATAGGGAGTTTTCGTAGACCGCGCTGCCCCCTCCACTAAGCGTTCCGCAACGAAGAAGCCGCTACTACGCCTGGGCGCCGATGGCCTTGGCTGTACAGTTCCGGGTATCGTAGCGGGTTGCGGAGAGGGTTTGCGGAAAGGCGAAAACGACCTACGAAAACTCCCTAATGTCTGGCTAAATTTAGCCGGGATATCTTCCCGCTAAATTGTCGCGTGATGTCACGAGACGTGAAAATTTACGTGTGACGTCATTATGGAAAACGTCCCGCTAAATTTAGCAGAAAAGTTTTCTCGCGAAATTTAGCGGAGAATTTTCACGGCAAATTTAGTGGAAAAGTTTTACCTTCGTGACGTCACACGTGACGTGACCAGGGGAAACGTCCCATAACGCAACGCGCGGTTACGCCAACGCCGCTCAACTCCGAAAACAACGCCTAAAAGCTGCGCTCCAGAAAAACAATTACAGCTGACAAGGGTTTGCAATATTTGTGAGGTGAAATTTGCGCACTATTTATGATTTATAAAATAATTTTAAGTCCGCGATGAGGAAATGATCCGTAAAAGAACAAGTAAAAAAAAGGATGGATAAACATTTTTTAAAAGTCCGAATTACATGAGAAGACTTAATAAACGGTAGCGCTTCAATTAGAAAATATACGCAGATCGGAAGTGCTCCAGTGCGTAGATGGCGCGAGTGTGCTCTCTCGTAATAAGCAATCCCAAGCCACTGCAACGCAAACGGTCAGACTCAAACGCATATATGGTGCCTCGTACCGACAGACAAACGAGAAGCACCGCGTGTTGAACTCCGTGGTGTTGTGATTCTTGATGGTGACCTCAAGCCCTTCGCAAAAACCGCCTCCCATAGCTGTCTGCCGTGCTGTGGAACGCCTTCCGAGCATGCGCGGTTGATCTGCAGTGCGACCTATCCGACGCTGCGTGTGCTTCCACAGCTTAGTGACTCAGCATATTTCGTCCCGGAGCGATACTGCCACAAAAAGAGCATGTTCGTGGACAACTGGGGCCCTAAGCTGGACATTTGGCGAAAAGGTCGGCGAGAAATCTGGCGGCCGTGATTGGCCGACGCCGCACTTGACCTTGGCGCCGGCCAATCATAGCCGCCAGATTTCTCGCCGTCTTTCTCGCCAAGTGTCCAGATTAGGGCCCCTGGTGTGCTGCGGAAGGTTGAACCGGTCACTGGAGGACTACGATGAGAGCCAATCAAGCGGCACCAACAGTGTATGTCGACGTCTTTGCGCTTTTGTCCGGCCATACTAATCACGCGCGGTGAATGCGGGGTCATCTCGCGCTTTTCTTTCCGTGAAAGATCGGTTTAGCCGGTGAAAGCAGAGGCGCAAAGACGTCGTGACGATGCACTTTTCCTGCTGGTGGGATGGGCTCCTTCGAGTCGCGGTGTTGGCTTGCGGTCGGACTTAATCTGAAACGGAGTGACGGGTTGAGAACGTACTACGCGTACAAAACGTGCGCGTCGAATACATGGCGGAAAATATTGAACTATAGTTCGTTTCACCTTAACTCAGCGTGCAATCAAAGAATGGAGAAGACAGAAACATATATACACAGACCAAAAGCACGAAGTCACTGTGCATCCCTTGTAGTGATTGGATAAGCCGGGGATGTCACACACGAATGAAGACGACAATCACAGTGACGTTGAACTCTCGCCGACGCTTGATTGGTCCTACCGGCTCGTATACCGTCGGCTGCACTAGGATTTAAAAAAATGTGAAACAAAGTGTATCAAAACAAAAATTATTAGGTGTACTAATTGACTGCGCCCTGAACCGACTGACCTGCTAACAAACTTCAAATAAAGTTTACGTGCCCTTTTTAAAGGGGCGGTGCAACGATATTCGATTGGAATGTTTTTCACTTTACGCGAGCTTACTGGCACTAGTGGGACTCAAGGATACTCGCACGCAACGCCACTGGCCAAGAAACTCCTTTGTTGAGGTGTAATTTCAAGGACAAAAGCCGAGCGTTTTCATTCAATCTCTCCTTCGCAAAACGATGATGTAGCTGGGCGGTCGCAGTTCCGCCCAGTGACGATATTTGAATGTGGCTCATAGATTGGTCCCCAGCATTGCGTGGCCATTCGATTTAGGCTAATTATAATCGATAGCTCCAGAAGCATTCGGGTAGTGGCCCGGGCGTGTCCAATCGCCGCAATGATGACAATCGCCGAACCGTAACAATATCTGCAGTTCCGCGCGTGTCCTGTGCCTTGCCAACCCCAGCGTGTGGTATATGATCAACATTGGCGGCATGTAATCGGCTCCAGATTACGTCGCCGCCTTCTCTGCAGGCTGCGAGTTGACGGGGTGAGGGATGTTCGTTTTTCTTTATTTTTTCCGCGACTTTGATTGCGTGTGGCGAAAAACGAACGGTTGTTTCACAATTCAATAGGAAGTTTTCGTAGATAGTTTTAGCCGTCCCGGAACGCCCTCCGCAACCAGCTACGATACACGTAACTCCACAGCCAAGGCCATCGGCGCGCAGGCGCAGTAGCGGCTTCTTCGTTGCGGAGGGCTTGGCAGAGGGGGAAACGCAATCTACAAAAACTCCCTATTAACGTCAGGGGGGATCCGTTCAAGGAGGTATTCGCGAAAAGTACAAAAATCGTTGCATCGCCCCTTTAACAAGATGCACACATTAAAACTACTCCAAAATGACCGCGTCTCACCCACCAGATAACTCACGAACGGCGGATTAGAATAAAGAATAGAGGAAACAATTCCAATTAGAGCACTAAACATTACAAGTTCCGACAACCCCTATAGAAGGCCCAATCTTCAACTTTTTCTTCTTTTTTTTGTGTGTGTGTGTAAGAAACTTTCACATTCGAACCCTATAGCTCTTCCAATCCGCAAGAATCCCGAAGGACAAAACAAGCTAAATACCGATACTTGAGAACGTAGAGGCAAGCAAAACTTGGCATGGAGAACGCAAGCACAAGAGAGCAGCACTGCGCGTTTGCGCAACGCTCCCTTTAATGAGCCATGGGCCTGCGGGACTGGAACCATGCGCTGTGGCGTACGCGGGTACCGAAAAATACTGCCAAAATAACGCTGTTCTTGTTTTACTATTAGGGAGCGGGATTAAGTTAACGCCTCCTCAATTACCAAGGTGATGGGGTTTTTACGCCTCCTACCGGAGGCCAGCGCGGGAAAGAAAACGTATAGAAAGTAGGGCTGGGCATTTGATCGATTAACCTACCGATTAATCGATTAATGCTTTAATCGCGATTATTTTTTAACCAGTTATTCGGTAATATTTTAAGGAGTCAAAATAAAGTAAAAAGTAAACGCTTTCACCACGCAGACGTGGACGAGAACACCTCTATGGAGGGGAAACTTAAGGTCAAATTTTAGCCTACAGTAAACTAACTGTAGGGGGAAGATTTGTAACTCCTGACAAGGTGCAGAAGGTTACACGTCTCCCGGCCACTTCAATAGCGTTTGAGTGTCCGTTTAGCGCAGCAGAGAAAGGCTATAGTGTGAACAATCAAAGGAGGTCGCTCTTGCCGGATAATATCAACGACCCTTTTACCTCATGCAGCTGAAGTAATGATCTGTGAGTGCCTCCGAGCTGTTCTTAACCACACATCAAGGTTGAGTCGTAATAAAACTTGTGTATTAGGCCTCATGTTCAGCAAAGGCAAAAACAGAAAGCACATATTAATTCTTGACTTTTTAAAAATATTATGCATAGAAATA